TGTCAGGGAACGGAAAGCCACTTCTAATGTATGGGGGATATAAATACCACCAGAAACACCTTCCCAAGAAGGATAATGAGAATGATGAGAATGTTAAATGGCAATGCTACACCCACTCCCCTAAGAAATGTAGGGCAAATATCACAACTATAAAGTCAGAAATTGTACAATCAAATCTACAACATAATCATTAACTTTATACACTTGGCGTCAAATAAATCGCACCTCCCGCGACAAGCACTTTTCAAACGTATGCATCCCCACTTCTCACCAATATAGGTACCATTTGAAAGCCTAGTTCTAAACTTAATTTCATTAATGGAAAGGTTTTTACCCTAAAAATGTGTCTTTAGAAGGATCCAGTCTCTTCTTCAAGCGACAGGTTGCGGTTAAATTGGGATTAATGGTTTTATAACCACAAAAATTGGTTTACTTGGTCCCAGAGGTGAGCTCCAAGTGAGACCTTTTTTCAAGTCACATTTATGGTACCTGTTAATTGTTTATAAAAATTTAATGTGTTTTTCTGTAAGTTTATTTACGGGGCTTTTAAATAACACCAATATTGTTGGGGCACCATGATTGTGTCAGAAGAAATTATTTAAAGTTCGCGTCGCGGAAGGTGCGATTTATTTGATATTGAGTAAGGGAGAGTCCGCTAATTTGGACCAGTTTTTTTCAATCCCATTTTACACATAGTTTTCTTTTGTTTTTGCTAATGTCCATGGTATATAATAAAAGATACATTATTCAACTTACTATTNTCTAATTAAATCCATTCTTACTCCCTTAAAATGTATGAAACTTGTATCTGTTTTCTACTTCTGCTAATAGATAATTTTATTGGCTATCGCATGATATAAATTTTTTGCTTATTAGTGTTAAGCTACCCACGCATTCACTTGTTTTTGAAGGAAGAGGTGAAAACTAAAAATTAAAAACTAAAATCCTCGTAATTTTGCGAGAAATGGGTCAAGCCCCAAATTTGAAGTATTTTCATCGATAAAATTGTCCATAGATTACGCCCTTAAAGTTTGATCACTACAAACCCGGACACACTGTATATGTATATAAAAGAAAGTCGTGTTAGTTACTTCGCTTATAACTCAAGAACGGCTGAACCGATTTAGCTGATAATTGTCAGGGAGGTAGTTTAGAGCCAGGAGAAGGACATAGGATACTTTTTATCCCGTTCGAAATAAAAAAAAGTCGGCTTATTTATTGCCATTAAGGCGGAACAAAGTTCGCCGGGTCAGCTAGTTGTTTATAAAAAAATAAATGTGTTTTTCTGTAAGTTTATTTATGGGGCTTTTAAATAACACCAATATTGTTGGGGCACCATGATTGTGTCAGAAGAAACTCTTTAAAGTTCGCGTCGTGGAAGGTGCGATTTATTTGATGTTGAGTAAGTATATTTTATGTCTGCCTCCTTCCAACTGTGCTCTAAGCAGACCACCAACTTTTTATCGGCCGATAGTTGGGTTGGGCTGTTAATCATTATGAACTTGGTATCTGCCGACTCTTTATACAAATTAGAATCGGGCCTAACTATCGGCCGACTAAAGTCTTTAGCCTGCGGGGAGTCTAAATGGGTTAGGATATAATTTAGTGCGTTAATGTGGTAAAGCTTAGTGTGCAAATAAAAATATGAATATGAATTCTTCTTCTTCTTCTCAGTCGGTACACTCTTGTCAGAGTGGTCGTGGTCATCATCTTGAATCACGATTCAGAGTGATGTTCCTCGTAATACGGCGCCATTCCTCGCGGACTGCAGCTTTCCGGGTACTTTCGCTAACCGAGCACTTAGTTGCGGCCTTGATCTGGTCCGTCCATCTCATTGGTGATCTACCATGTGGTCTGGTGCCCTCAACTTTGTAACACACTGGTGAATATGAATATGAAAGCAATATAAGATTGTTATTGGTTTTTATCTTTACCTATTACCTACATGTTCTTTTAGGATTGTTTTAAATACTTAACTGTAGATTGCTTGTTAGAGTTTTTAATTAAATATTTTATAATAATAACGTTTTTGATTTATGTATTAAAGGTATTGGTATTTTATCAGGTTTATTTTCACCGTTGAATTTCTACCTTATGATTTTAGGTTGAGGTATTTTTCTTACTCGCGACAATTACGGGTATGAGAAAAGAGGTCTGCAGTTGAAATTATATAATTTTTTGTTCCAGGATTCACTGAAAAAGTATCTAAGAAAGGCAAAACACTCATATGCGTAAACGGACATACGTTCTACCAGAAGACAAATATAAAAAATAAAATCAAATGGGTCTGCTCTACGCATCATGCTAAAGGATGTAATGCTACTGTCTACACAATTGACAACGAAATCGTTAAGGCGAATGTTGTTCATAAACATTATGGTAATAGTAAATCTTTGTTGAAAAAACAATTTTTAAAATTTGACTATTTTTAAAAGTCAAATAGGTTAAAGGGACTTAGGCTGGGTTGCACCATCTTACTTTGACTTTAACAAACATCAAAAATCTGTCAAATTCATACAAAATACACCGGTTACCGTTAAAGTTACAGTCAAAGTTAGGTGGTGCAACTCAGCCTTACTATCGTTAGGTCCGTATAAATCTACATCTACCCTAATATTATAAAAAGGAAAGATTTGCTCGTTTGTTGAAGAAGTTCCGAAAGTACTTGACTAATTTGAAAAATTATTTACGCTTAGACGCAGGCCACTGATTTTTTGTCGCCCGATGTCGATGATGTCGGGCAGTTAATCAGTATGAGCATGTATGGAAGTGCGCACATTACACCGATTTGATTTTCATACAAATTAAAATCGGATTCAACTATCGGCCGATTAAAAATTTATGGTCTGCACCTAGGCTAACCATTATAGAATCCTACATTATTTCTGATGAATATACGGAGTTAGCCGAGCCAGTTAGTTTAGAATAAAATAGGATATTTTTGAAAATGAGGTTGTAATTGACAAGTAAAAGTTTGTAATTATTCAAAATAAAATATTTAAAAAAAGTAACCATTGTTTTTCTGTCATCGAAAGCTCTTTAAGTGTTAATGTGGACCACGTAAATGGTTTTGCTATTGTTTGTTGTGTGGCTATTAATAATAGTAAGAGGAATTATCTTGTTTTTCAGTAATTTTCCGTAGGAAATCCGTGGATGGCAGGCCTATTTTATTCTTACGAGGTTACAAATCCTACAAGAAATTGAAATCTATTGGCACCTTCAAACAAGATGGGCGTGTTCTACCCATCACGAAAAGGGATACAAAGCCATGATTCATACACAGTAATCAAAGTAAATAATGTTCACACTCATAAACCAAATTAGAAGACCAAAGAAGAAACGCAAAGACTTTAGAAAAGTTTAGCTAAACTAAGCTTTTTTCACTATCCTTACAAGTATCAAGATATTACAATATTGTTCGACTTTCCATATGGACGACCTCAGAGGAGACGCGGCCTAACATGCCAGCCAATCATAGTACCTTTTTTGGTTGCATCTGTGTCAGTAGAAGTGTTTGCACACGCATACGTACCTTAAGAAGGATAATGTACAACAAAGCTCTAAAAATTATCCAAAAATACTCTCATACCGCAAGTGAAGTCACAGTCAGCGCCATCTATTGGTTGGTACTTCTTTGTATTTAGACGAATGAAGGTGGTTTACTGACTGCTGTGTTAAGTTCAAGATACATTTTCTTTTTTACGTGTCCCACTTAGCTATTTTCACCGAAAGTATTACTAGGTTTAAGTTGAAATGTCAAAGTCTTGTTTTCTATTATTTTGTTCTATTTACTGGGAAGATTTTTGAAAGTCACTGTAATAATAAAAAAAGTGTTATGATAAAATATGTTTAATTTCCCGATAAATATTCATAAAAGTCTATGAAAAAGTTTTGGGTTGATTTTATTGATGTCCTCTTAATTTATTTTATTTCTTTAAGGGCTGAAGAGAAGAAAATTTCGGAAGCCAGTGCCAGAGGATGATGTAAGATATGATAACTTCGGTCACTTCCTATCAACGGGGGATCGTGGTCGGTGTCGCCTGTGCTCACATGCGACCAACGTCATTTGTATGAAATGCAACATTCGGTTATGTTTTGTTACTGGAAAAAATCCTAGAAACTGCCAGCTCGATTTTCATACACGGTATTATTAATGTAATAGAGCAGTATACTAGGGACAAGTTCCTTGCAATTATTTTCATATTCGTATCTATTCATTATTTTCAGACATAGTAAGGACAGACTGAAAAATAGGAAACGATGGGTATTTAAGGGTAAATAGAATACTTAATAAAAGCCAAAACTAAAATTCAAACACTTCTTTATTTGTAGACTATTAAAATAGCTACATAAAAATATCTCTATCTCCAATCATATAAAATGGGGAGGTGCATTGTGGTAATGTGGTAAATTTCTGCCCGGTTAACTCTAGCCTTGAGAAGGCTTAGGTAAATAATATGCTTAAAAATTAAAAATTCATAAAATTCATTTATTTTTGCAAATAGGCTTTTAAAAAGCGCTTTTACACGTCCCAATATTAACCCTACCACTGCTTCGGGACAATAAATTAGAAAAATATACCCTACTTTGTAACTTTTAATGCATACTTATCGTGATTTACTTATTTTTAATAATATCATCTGATATTGAGAATTATAAAACCTTTATTATCACTGTATTATATTATTGTATATTGTATAATGTATTGTAAAGAATCCAATCTAATCAGTAATCCTACAGAATGAAGTATGTATATTTGGTTGATCTAAAATATAGATCGATAGGAAGTATATCTAACGATATGTTTTTAGCCTATTCAGACCTTAATGAAAAATAAATTAATATTTAATAATGTGAACGTTTTTAAAACAAATAAACCTTAGGTCACGCAGTTCAATCATTATTATGACGTGTTAACTTTTTTTTAGTAAAATTTTGTTTTTCAAAAATTCTTGTTTAATTGTACCTACCGCTGGCTTGTGTATAGCCAAAGTACAAAAATGTCGTCAAGTGTGGTAGTAACCACCAAAATTTACACAGTAGCATGNNNNCATGCGTTTGGGTATAAAACTATTACCACACTCACACATGATCAAATAAACGTTTACTATCGGCTATCTCTTATGCACTCTGTAGTTTTTACACAACAGATACTTGATAAAAGTACCCTCAAACAACGAGCTCGAATGCAAAACTGGAAGCCTATATCTGTGAGCGATTTGTGGGTGTTCTTTAGCATCTTGGTGCTGCAGAGTCTTGATCCTAGGCCAGTTGAGACTGAATATTGGAACTCAAACCTGAAAATATTACAAATGGACAGATTTAAAAAAGTTATGCCCATGGACAAATTTTTTTAAATCAAAAAATGCTTGCATTTTACTGATAATAGTAACGTGAAATCTAAAACTACACCAAATAATGAAAAAATTGCAAAGATCAAACCAATTCTTGACCACTTAAACCAAAAATTTGCGGAGCTTTACACTCCTGATCAAGACATCGCCCTAGACGAGTCGCTTTTATTATGGAAAGGGAAGCTAAATTTTGCACAAAAAATTTCTAACAAAGCGGCTCGTGTAGGGCTCAAAACATAATATGTTTACATTGTGAATAAATAAAATTATATACTTATCAACTGCTCTTTTCAGGAATTTTCTTTATTTCCAAAAATGGAAGACCTCGGATCCAATATGGGGGTTATACTTTTTTTAGGAGGAGTGAAAAGAAGAAAGGGGCAAGGACGGCGCGATGGATGTGCTCAACCCACCATAGTAGAGGCTGTCGGGCCGTTTTACATACTGTTGATAATGATATTGTCAAAATACATAATGTGCATACACACTGATTTGACGACCGATATTGTAGTGGTTTGCACATCGGACTGCTATCCCAAAGATCGCTGGTTTGAGGCACAATACAATGTTTGTGTGCCTGAACATAAATTAGTTTGAATTTTCTGGGCGTTTCTTATAGTATGTAATATTGTCTCGTGTCTTACTATTTTAGTTGAAATGGAACGCGAAAGTTTAAAATTTTAAAGTATGTAATATGTGGTAAATAAAAAAGAAAAATTATGTAAGTACGAGTATATCCATTGGCCTGGTACCCATAGTACGAGCTTAGCTTAGCTTGGGACTAAATGGCGCAGTGTCAAATGCCCAAGGATAATTTATTTATTTATACTGATAGAAAAACAGTTTAGTAAATTCACTTCTTCGAAAGTTATTATCACTCTCACAACTAGTACGTTTTTGTAGCATTAGATAGCGTTTAAGATAATTTATGAATGTAGTAGTAACTTGTGCCATTCCTTTAATTTATTTTAGTAATTAAGAACCTGTTCGTGTATCATTAATGATGTACTTAATTACCTATAATAAATATGTACTCTAATGTAATATTTAATTTAGTTTATTCATACAAATACCGCAGAGTCTGACTTGAAATTAATAATTTTACATACTTGGATAATAAGGCAGGTATTTGACCGCAATCGCATTTCATTTTAACTTTGTGAGTTATATTTCGAACAAAATTATTCGATTTTAACTGTTTATTTTTTTTCTATTATAGCTCACATTCTGACAGATCGTATCTTGGCTCTACTGGGTGATGGAAGTCGATCAGACTTTGAAGATCTTTATGATGAAGAAGACTTGGGGGCAGATTCTCTTGTTTTTGCTGACGTTTTAACTACTGCCAACATTTCTGAGCATACAGAAATTGAAATCGAGATTGAGCCAGCACAAAGTCTTAGTACTAATACTACAATACCACGTGCATTACACCTTAAGCCAGACGACCTTCCAGCTTTCCGTAAAAACCCAGTTCGTGCACCAATAGATTATCTTAGCGAGTACTTTGATGAAAATTTCTATGAAGAGATAGCTAGGTGCACCAATCTCTACTACAAGCGGAAAACTGGGCAAGAACTAAACACAACCAAGTTCGAAATCGCAAAATTATTCGGTGCGCACATTATTATGGGATGCCTTCCCTATCCCCACTTGACGATGTACTGGCGAGCCAATATGAAGATAGGCCTTATTGCAGATACAATAAGTCGCGATCGGTTTTTAACACTACGTAAGTCTCTCAATGTAGTGGATCATGATCGACCAAGTGGAACAGAAAAACAAAATCCGCTTTGGAAGGTACAACCCGTGATCAAGCTGGTTCAGGAAGCCTGCAGCAGATTGGAAAGAGTCCCAACTAACTATTGCATAGGTGAACATATAATTCCATTCAGTAGCCGCTATTCCACGCGGCATATACCCAGACCTGTTGGTATCAAAACGTTCGTTTTGACAACGAGCGATGGTCTTCTGCTCGATTTTGACATATTCAGAACTGCCAAAACAAAATCTGCTCAAAACTCTTTAGAGCGAGGATCTTCTTTAATTTTGAATTTAATCAAAAGTGTCCCATCCGGCAGCAGTGTGTTTTACAACCAGCGTTACTCAACAGAACAAGTAGTTGAAGAGTTTAACTGCAGAAATATACACAGCAAGGATTTGTTAAACCCAATACCGGATCGAGCAACTAACAAATTGGAGCAAATTGCTGATACAGTTGATGGTGAATGTCAGGCCAGTAGGAATGAGTCTAATGACGAATCTGCAATAATGCCATCAAAACACACGGAATCTTCAACAAGCAAAATAGTTAAAAGATCGGTTAAAAATCAGAAACATAATGACGATGAAGATGCTTCTATTGCTCAACAATATTTTCAACATACGGTTGGTGTAGATATTCTAAACCGACTAACCAACTTCTATAATGCCAACAACAGAGGAAAATGGACCTTAAATGTGATTTTCCACTTTTTTAACTTGGCCTTGGTTAACTCGTGGCGATTGTATAGAAATGATTGCGTCGCAAACGGGGTGTTAAGAAAGGACACTCTTCCGCTCCTGGATTTTCGGTTCAGTGTTGCTGATAGTTTGACCAACGCTCCTGAGAGAGACCGCCCTAATGATGACAGCGAGTCTGATGACGACCTACACTGTACAAGTAGACGGTACAGACCAATTCGTCCGTCTGAACGCAAGAGATACGATGGATATGACCACCTCGCTGTGTTCGATGAGCTAAGGGCACCAAGGTCTTGTATGTTCGAGAATTGTCATAGCCGTTCAAAGATCAAATGCTCCAAGTGCGGTGTCTATCTATGCTTATCTAGAAGCAAAAACTGTTTCCAATTGTATCATGTAAAACCTTAACTACCTAATATACACATTACTTTACGATATCTTGTCTTTAAATATACATAGGTACTGTTAAGTTTCAAGTACAGAAATGCATTATCTGATATGTATACTGAAGATTTTTAACGTATTATTGTTTCTTATTTCAGGCTATACGACGACTTACTCCAAAAATGGGAAAATTTTAATACATCTTGGTGGATTCACATTTTTCAAGAAAAGAACCATCGGAGTCAAAGAGACTTGGGCATGTTCTACCCACCATACGAAAGGATGTAAAGCTTCTCTTAAAATAATCGATAACACCATCGTACAGGCGAACGCTGATCATTCTCATAGCTCATAATTTTTTGGTTTTGATTTCCAATTAAAATATTTTGTTAGTGTAAGTATGTAGTTAACATTACTGTGTAGCTTCAATAAATTAAGTGCAGATGATTTTTACTATGTTAAATTGCTCGTGATTAATGAATATGACATGACACGTATAAATGATCACCATTGTATAACTAGAATGGTGTGATGATAAAATAAAATAAAAAGAAAATGCTCAAACGAACTTTGATTTTGCATTATGTGCATTTGTACATTTCTTCTTTCCTCGCTTATCAAGGTGCGTTTCATTTCGTATTGTGTTACATTTATTTTTGACTTGTAACAAAACAAGATGTTTATGATTTCAGTATCCTACACGACAAGAATATCCAAGAATGGTAACGTTATAATAAATTACGAAGGGTTTTCATACTTCAAGAAGCGCAAGTTCAAATCGACGGATTTGTGGGCGTGCTCTACTCACCATACGAAAGGATGCAAAGCCAAGCTAACCGTAATTAACGGACACATTGTGAAAAAGAAAAATGAACATTTGCACGAGTAATATGGCATTTTTTCGGGCCCAATAAAAGACTTCAATTGATAAGGACCAAAGAATACAAAGAAAACGGTCCTGGTCTGCCCACATTCAGCTTCTCGCAACATTAACTAGATCGTCAGTCCAGTGGGGCGTTTTTTATACAGTTCTTAATATTCTTGGACTTAATTAGGATTACAATTTTAATTATCTAGTTCATTAATTGTAGTGCTTTGGACATATAAGACATTCTAGTCCAGTATGTTTTTAGTGACATTGACGGTTTGTTAGAGAATAATAAAACCAATATTTTAAACTTCGTGTTATTTCATTTTATAGTAGGTATTAAGTAGGTTTCACTATGTGTCTTGCGGTCTTGCCATTGGATTTATTTAATGTATTTAATTTTCGTTTTTGCGGCGATACGGTGTTGAGCCCTTTCCGAGTTGATAAGTGTGTTATCACTTTAATGCGTGCTTTCTCAAACCAAATTATTTGGCCTATCTTCTCTCGATACCTACCGTCTTAAAACACCTACTTAACTTACTTGGTTTTATAATTTTAGTGGCAAACCGAAAGACACCTCAAATATTTCGGAACACGAATACCACGTTGAGTTTCAAGGGAACAGACGAAGTGGTACGTATTTTTATATTATGGTTCTTCAGGACTACAATAAAAAAAAAACAAAGACACGGAAAATTTAGAAGATCGTCGAGGGAATGAATAAAAACCATGAATTCCTCATAAAAAGTCACACTTAAAATGAGGGTTGAAGCCATTAGACAGAATAATTAATTAAGGAGCCTAAAGGACATAGCACACTTATTAACCCGGAAAGGGATCGTAACCGTATCAACTCGAGGCGGTCAGTACGCACAATTATCCGCACCGTAACGTAAACGCCTCGCCTCGTGGTTGACAGCGCGCGAAAGGCGATTTTTTACGTAAATCGATTAAGTTACTGATTCTAAGTTCCTCCTAAAAATTTGGATACTGATAACAAAATCATCCTGTATATATTCCTGTATATATTTTTTATACTATCACAATATTACACCTTCGTACATTTCTTCGTCTCGCTTTATCAAGTTGCGATAAAATTTTTGTGCAAGCTGTACCACAGAATAATAATAAGTACTACATAGCTGTACTACTTTTCTTTTATTTAAGTTCTAACAAAAATATAATGTTTATATTTCCAGTACAGTACACGACAAGGATGTCCAAGAATGGTAAAATCATAATAAATTACGAAGGATTTTCTTACTTTAACAAACGAAAGAAATCGGATAATAAGTGGTCGTGCTCTACTCACCATTCTTTAGGATGCAAAGCCACTCTAACCGTGGTTAAAGGGCGTATTGTGAAAATGCAAAATGAACATTCACACCCGAAGAAAGTCGTTTCGGTCAAGTCATCCAAAAGACGTCCAAAAGCCAAGGATTCTGCTCGCACCCAGACACTTTCTGCTTCCAGATCGTCAGTTCTCCGTGTGAAAGGCCCCTTTTATAAGATTATCTAATAAACATTTGCTACTGGACTTATTTAAGATTAATTAATTAATGACTTAGACTATGCCTTTTTTCACCCCTATAGTAACACATAACAGGAATTTTGTTTTCAAAGGGGTTTTGAAAACAAAATTCCTCCAAATTTTGTTCTTTAAGGGATTGATGGTGAATACGGGCAGTGATTATGTTTCATGTATTGTGTAATATTAAAACGAATACTGTACTCAAACTACGTGTTATTTCACTTTAAGTAATGTTTAAAAATTAAAAAAATATGAAATAGGTAACTGTAAAATAAATTTTAGAAATAAACTGTGTATCTCGCAATGGGATTTATTTAATGCATCAATGTATTCCTGCATAATTTTAATTCCTGAAAATCTAAATGATCAGATGTCTACAATGTGGTAACAGATGACAGATAGTTGTTTGTCTTAAAAGTCAGAATAAGGCTTTTCTTGACACCTACCGTCTTAAACCACGAACATAACTTACTTGTTTTTATATTTTAGTGGCAAGCCGATGGACAAGTCAAATCTTTCGGAACATGAACTTCGCGTTGAGTTTCAAGGAATTCGACGGAGTGGTACGTATTTTTCGTACTATGATTTTATCTTTCCCTTCATACTTTTTTGCATAGAATATTAGTATCAAATACAAGGCTTTTTCTTCGATGAATGAANGAATGAAATGGTTGGTTAAGAGAGTGACAATAATATAGTAGCTAAATAAGACTCAATGAAAACTCATCAACATCATTTCAGACATAAGACGTCCACTGCTAAACATAGGCCTCTCCCAATGACTTCCAGCGCCTTCCTGCTACCTTTATCAGGTCGTCGGTCCACCTTGTGGGTGGACGCCCCACGCTGCGTTTTCCAGTGCGTGGTCTCCACTCCAGAACCTTGCTGCCCCATCGGCCGTCAGTTCTGCGTACTATGTGCTCTGCCCATTGCCACCAACTTGCTTATCCGTCGGGCTATGTCAGTGAATTTAGTTCGTTTACGGATCTCCTCACTTTGATCTCGTAAAGAAACACAGAGCCTTTCCATAGCACGCTTGACATGCAATGACAACTAGGAAGTATTATTCTTGATAAAACTGAGTCTCTCTCTCTCTTTCGCTCTTTTTACTGTGAGCGTGAGTGTGTGTGTGTGTATTTTCATGTTTATTTGAATTTCAGTCAAATCAAGCAGAGGACAGACTATCTAGTTCGGACATATCACAATCAGTATCTAGTGATTCAGATTCAGAACAAGAAACGAACATGCTTGAAACTCGCTCTACATCTTGTAAGAAAAAAACTACATCGCAAGCTACCATGTCAAATGATCGAGACTTAGAAGCAGACAATCCAGTAGATGAATTGACAGGTGACAAAACCACAAGCAAAATTAGACGTAATCGCAAGGCAAACCCCGATAGTTGGAAGTGTGTACAAGCAAAAATTTTAAGGAATCATGGTAAAGCGTATTTAAATATGAAGAACAAACTAGTTCCTGCAAGAAAATTGAAAACGCCATGTGGAGATCAGTGCAAATTAAAATGTAAAGAAAAAATTACAGAATTACAAAGACAGATTATATTTCAAGACTACTGGGATTTTGGTGACTTGGAACGGCAGCGGGAATATATTAAACGACATATTTCCGAAATTAAGCCAAGATACTCGTACAAGGTACACAACAGTAATCGGGGAAATAATTTTGCATGTTATTTTTCAGTGGGAAATAAAAAAATTAGAGTCTGCAAGACTTTCTTCAAAGCCACTCTTGATATCAGTGACAGAACTATCAGGACTGTAATCCAAAAAACCACAGACACGGGAAATTTAGAAGATCGTCGAGGAAAACACAAGAACCACGCTTGTAAATTTAAATTGTCGCCAATTTCTCATAAAAGGTCGCACTCAAAATGAGGGTGATAGTGTTCACTCTATTATAGTCGTCAATCCAAAAGAAGCGTTAAATATGGAGCGATATACACATCATATTGATATACACAGACAACGGCGGCAGCAGAGCAGTAAAGAAAAACGTAGTTACAACAGATAATTTTCAAACTATTTCGCGACAAAGTCGCGGGCACAGAATCAGACAGTATGTGTATTAAAACAAACATTACTTCAGACTACATCTTATTTATCTTTAAGTCTAAATAATTTAAATGTACCTATAGGTAACTCAAAAATATATTTTAGAAATAAAGTAACTACCTATATGTATATTGATTTTTTTTTGATAAATTATGTGTTCCTAATTTTAGTTCTTAGTTAGTAGTTTTATTCCCGTTTTCACCATCAATCCCTAATTTTAATTAACCATTAAGAAAACAAAATTCCTGTTATGCTACCATAGGGGTCACTTAAAAATTAGGGATTGATGGTCAAAATGGGCGTTAGACAGTTGTCTACAAATACGGATATAGCTTTTCTCGATACCTACCGCCTTACAACACCTACCTAACTTACTTGTTTTTATATTTTAGTGGCAAACCGATGGACACGTCAAATCTTTCGGAACATGAACTTCGCGTTGAGTTTCGAGGGAATTGAAGAGGTGATAAGTATTTTTCATACTATGATTTAAACTTTCCCTTCATACTTTTTTGCATATAATATTAGTATCAAAGCAAGAAAGCGCTGGACGCATGCCGCTACCAATCGATCAACATGGAAAATATTGGGGGAGGCCTATGTTCAGCAGTGGACATCCTATGGCTGAAATGATGATGATTAGTAACGAATACAAGTTTTTTTCTTCGAAGAATGTGAAGGGCTAGTGATAATAATACACGATGATTTGACAATCAGTATTTAATTTTTTTAATAAGCTCTTTAGAACAATTTAACAATACAACTTTATCTAAATTATTTTTAATTGTTTACTTTTTCGCAAAAAAAAAATTGAAAATATAATTCGCTGGTGCCCATAATATTGTGGGACAAGATATTGTTAAGTGCAAACTTAACTGTGTGTTCGTATTTTTTCATGAACAAAGCTTTATCCACGTGAGCCAATTTTGAAACCGCGCGCAGCAAATAAAAATAATAAAATATGAAAAAATATTTTTGTTTTCTTGACGCAAATCGATTAAGTTACTGATTTAAGTCGCTCCTAAAAAATTTGATACTGATTGAAAAATCACACTGTATAGTAATCAACTAAATAAGACTTAATGAAAACTAGAAGTATTCTTGATAAAACTAAGTCTTCATGTTTTATTTGAATTTCAGTCAAATCAAGCAATAGACAGACCATCTAGTTCAAGCTCTTGTTCGGACATATCACAATCAGCGTCTAGTGATTCAGAACAAGAAACGAACATGCTCGAAACTCGCTCTAAATCTTGTAAGAAAAAAACTACATCGCAAGCTACCATATCAAATGATCCAGACTTACAAGTAGACAATCCAGTAGATGAATTGACAGGTGACAAAGAAACCACAAGCAAAATTAGTCGTAATCGCAAGGCAAACCACGATAGTTGCAAACGTGTACGAACAAAAATGTTAAGGAATCACGGCAAAGCGTATGTAAGCTCAAGGAACAAACTAGTTCCTGCAAGACAATTGAAAACCCCATGCGGAGATCAGTGCAAATTAAAATGTAAAGAAAAAATTACAGAATTACAAAGACAGATTATATTTAAAGACTACTGGGATTTTGGTGACTTGGAACGGCAGCGGGAATATATTAAACAGCACATTTCAGAAATCAAGTCAAAATACTTGTATGAAGTACATAACAGTAACCGGAGACATAGTTATGCTTTTTATTTTTCGTTAGAAGATAAACATATTAGAGTCTGCAAGACTTTCTTCAAAGCCACTCTTGACATCAGTGACAAGACTATCAGGACTGTAATCCGAAAAACCACAGACACGGGAATTCTAGAAGATCGTCGAGGAAAACACAAAAAACCACGCTTATAATTCAAATTGTTACGAATTCGTCATAAAAGGGCACACTCAAAATGAGAGGGACAGTGTTCACTCTATTATAGAGTGTCAATCCAAAAGAAGCCTTGGAGATACACATCATTACTACACACAGACAACAGGGGCGGAGCCACCCTAGTAAATTTAAATTGTCGCCAATTCCACATAAAAGGTCACACTCAAAATGAGTCTGACAGCTATGGTGACAGTGTTCATTCTATTATAGGGCGTCAATCTAAAAGAACCCTTAAATCTGGAGCGATTTACGCACTATATCAAAACAAACAGATAAAAGGTCGAAGCAGTTAAAAAAAATTGAAATTATTATTCAAACTATTTTCACGCGTCCAAACCCGCTGACACAGATAGTCTGTGTACTACAAACAATTCTTCAAATTACATGGCATTTCACTCTAAAGCTTCAACCACACCAACGCGTGCAGATCGCCATCGCCGGCGCGATCATAGGCCAATGACAGAACGCGTGACCCATGACAGTTCACGCGACCTGTCATTGGCCTGTGATCGCGCCGGCGATGGCGATCNTTTCTATACAAATTGAGGTACTTGCATACAATGATTAAATCTGTCGCCCCGCGCTCCGCGGCGGAGCGCGGCGCAGTGTGATAACCGCCTAATACTACTTGTAAATCCTGATTCCTTCCTCCACATGACAGGCAATGCCTAGTGTGGAGGGCTGTCTTTTATTTTGTACTACTTGATCTGGCAATAAAAGTATTTTTATGTTAATTTTCAAAAAATATGAGGATGGCGATGATAGCAATTTTTAGACTAAAATATATGTAGGGCTGGGGTTCTCAAGAGAAACTTCAGCTTTCAGTTTCGTGAAAATACACCGTTTATTTCTAATAACTTTAGCGGAGCACACCTGCACGTCATGGCAGTTCGGACGAGAGAGAGCGAGCCTCGCACCTTTCATTCAATCCTATCATTCGGTTTATTTTAACGTTTCACTATTTGAACGTTTCAACGAAATTAAAAAATAAAAGTTAAAGTTTGTNTGGCGATCTGCACGCGTTGGTGTGGTTGAAACAGACGTAGTGTTTAAATAATTTTAAAAATGTGAAAAAGGTAACTCTAAAATAAATTTTAGAAATAAAGTATGTATCTTGCAATGGGATTTATTTAATGCATCAATGTATTCCTTATTTTAATTCCCGCAAATCTAAATGATCAGATGTCTACAATGCGCAATGTGGTAGCTAGTTGTTACACCAGTAGGCCTAAGATGCGCGCCGTGATAACTTTTATCGACGTCAATTTGTATGGGCAAAATCGATAAAATGGCGTGAAAACCGCCTATCACGGCGCGCATCTTAGGCCTACAGGTCTGCACGTTTGCCTCCTGTCACATCAAAAAAAAATTTAGCTTTTTCTCAACACCTGTCTTAAAACATCTACCTAACTTAGTTGATTTTATATTTCAGTGGCAAACCGACGGGCACGTCAAATCTTTCGGAACATGAACTTCGCGTTGAGTTTAGAGGGAATTGAAGAGGTGGTACGTATTTTTCATACTATGATTAGATTATATCTTTCCCTTCAGACTGTTTTGCATAGAATATTAGTATCAAATACAAGTTTTTTTCTTCAATGAATGAAAGGTTAAGAATAATACAGTACCTAAATAAGACTTAATGAAAACTAGGTTATTCTTGATAAAACTGACGCCTGTATTCAGAAACATGAGGTCTCACAGTGAACGTAGACGCACAAGGTGACACACGAACCAATCACAGAGCTCTATTCAACGCTGTGCGTTCGATTTGCTGCTTCACTTAAGCAAGCATCGTTTGCGAATACGGACATGAGTCTCTAATCTCTCTCTCTCTCTTTCGCTCTTTTTACTGTGTACGTGTATTTCATGTATTATTTAAATTACAGTCAAATCAAGCAGAGGACAGACCTTCTAGTTCAAGTTTTTGTTCGGACATATCACAATCAGCGCCTTCAGATTCAGAACAAGAAACGAACATGCTTGAAACTCGCTCTACATCTTGTAAGAAAAAAACTACATCGCAAACTACCATATCAAATGATCGAGACCTAGAAGCAGACAATCCAGTAGATGAATTGACTGATGACAAAGAAACTACAAACAAAATTAGACGTAAAGGCAAGGCAACCCCTAATAGTTTGAAGCGTTTACAAGCAAAAATTTTAAGGAATCAGGGAAAATCGTATGTGAGTGAAAGGAACAAACTGGTTCCTGAAAGACGATTGAAATCCCCATGTGGAGATCAATGCAGATTGAAATGCAAAGAAAACATTACAGAATTACAGAGACAAAAGTTATTTCAAAACTACTGGGAAATTGGTGACTTGAAGCGGCAGCGAGAATATATTAAACAGCACATTTCAGAAATTAAGCCGAAATACTCGTACAAAATACACAACAGTAATCGGGGAAACAAATTTGCTTTCTATTTTTCGGTAGCAAATAAAAAAAGTAGAGTGTGCAAAACTTTCTTCAAAGCCACTCTTGATATCACTGACAGGCCTATCAGGACTGTAATCCAAAAAACCAAAGACACGGGAAATTTAGAAGATCGACGAGGAAGACACAAAAAACCACGCTTATAATTCAAATTGTTACGAATTCGTCATAAAAGGGCACAGTCAAAATGAGGGTGACAGTGTTCATACTAAAGAGGGTCAATTTAGAAGAAGCTTTGGAGCGATATACACATCATTAATACACACAGACAACAGGGGCGGAGCAGTAAAGAAAAATGTTGCAACAACAGAAAACAATATTCAAACTATTTTTACGCGTACGAAGTCGCGGGCACAGAATCAGATTGTCTGTGTATAAAAAAATACTTCAAACTACGTGTTATTTCACTGTAATGTATTGATAATTGTGTAGATAACACATAAATATATTTTAGAAATAAAGTAACTACCTACCTATATCTTGATATTGGATTTTTTTATTACATTATGTGTTCCTAATTTTAATTCTTAGTTAGTAGTCTCATGCCCGTTTTCACCATCAATCCGTAATATTTAAGTGACCTCTATGAAAACAAAATTCCTGTTATAATGTTATCGTAGGGGTCATTTAAAAATTAGGGATTGGTGATGAAAACGGGCACTAGATACTTGTCTTAAAATTTTAATATATAGCTTCTCTCGATACCTACCATCTTAAATCACTTACTAACTTACTTATTTTATATTTTAGTGACAAGCCGACGGACACGTCAAATGTTTCGGAACATGAATGTTACGTTGAGTTTCAAGGGAATGGACGAAGTGGTACGTATGTGGTATTTCTTATATTAACTTTTTTTTTTCTTCGATGAATAAAATTAAATGAAAGGTTCAGGGCTGGTGATAACAATATAGTACTTAAATAAGACTTAATGAAAACTACGAAGTATTAGGTATTCTTGATAAAACTGAGTCTCTTTCTATTTTGCTCCTTTTACTGTGTGCGTGAGATTGTGTATGTCTAATTGTCTAGTTTCATGTTTTATTTGAATTACAGTCTAATGAAGCAGAGGACAGACCATCTGGTTCAAGCTCTTGTTCGGACATATCACAATCAGCGTCCAGTGATTCAAAACAAGAAACGAACATGCTTGAAACTACATCTTGTAAGAAAAAAACTACAAAAAAATCTGCATCACAAGTTAATGTATCAGATGATCGAAACTTAGAAATAGACAATCTGGCAAGTGCCAAAGAGACAAATAAAATGAGACGTAAACGCAAAGCAAACCCCGATAGTTGGAAGTGTGTACGAGCAAAAATTTTAAGGAATCACGGCAAAGCGTATGTAAGTAAAAGGAATAAACTAGTTCCTGCGAGACGGTTGAAAACCCCATGCGGAGATCAGTGCAAATTAAAATGTAAAGAAAAAATTACAGAATTACAAAGACAGATTTTATTCCAAAACTACTGGGACTTTGGTGACTTGGAACGGCAGCGGGAATNAAGGTGCGATATTAAACAGCACATTTCAGAAACTAAGCCCAAATACCCGTACAGAGTACACAACAGTAATCGAGCTAACAATTGTGCTTTTTATCTTTCGGTAGGAGATAAAAAAATCAGAGTGTGCAAAACTTTTTTCAAAGCTACTCTTGATATCACTGACAGGCCTATCAGGACTGTAATTCAAAAAACCACAGAGTCAGGAATTTTATTAGAAGATCGTCGAGGGAAACACAATAACCACCCTTGTAAATTTAAATTGTCACCAATTCCTCATAAAAGGTCACACTCATAATGAGATGTGGGTAAATCCAAAAGAGCGATTTACACACCATATACATGCACACTGATGATACGTTGTGAAAAGAAGCTGGTAGCCCTACAAAGTTTAAAAATTAAGGCTCTTTCGGACGTTTTGACACGGACAATTGTCGTCCGTTTGTAGGACACATTTTATGATAATTGCGTTGGAATAAAATTGACCAGCAGTAGGTACCTGCTGTGTGAGAAATTGCTGTCCGGCTCAAAACGTCTAATTTAAAAGAGCTCTTTTACCGACTTCCATCATTATTATGTCACAAGTTAAGCAACTGCTGTTGACTAGAATTTAAATTAACTCATAAAGCATCGGCAAAGTAACTGATTGAAATTTAAATTCGTGTAGTAGTTATTACGTTGATTGTAGCTAGCTTGTATCATTTTGAACATTTAAAACTTTTATGGTTTGCTTTTTAGAATTTATAAACTTCTGTGTTGTATTATAAATATAAATAAATATTACTAAACCTTCTGTTTTATTTCATTTGTTGTCTGATTTTAGCATTATTTGTAACTGTCATAGAACCTTCTATCATACTTTATTTATCTTAAAAGAGTTTTTATACAGCCAGTAATCAAATTTCAAAAGATTGAATATTATTAAAAATATGAATAATGCTGACATTGTCATAACTTAAAATATAACTGTTGCGAACGATCCTCCTTTCACCTTTATACTCCTTCGGCCTTGTATTTGTATTTGAGAAAAAGTGTTTGTAAATTGTGATTTTTATTGTAAATAAAAATATTATTTATTGTGTTGGTTTAGTTGGTTTTATTTAAAAAGGATATTAATTTCAGATTTAACGGGCACCATAATAATGTCCCAGAGAGGGAATCCGATGATCCAAGTGGATGGTTTTACGTTTTACAAAAAAAGCACAACCGGGCGCCGAACCAGGTGGCTATGTTCCACCCACCACTCCAGAGGGTGTCCAGCTTCTTTGTATACTATAGAAGGAGAAATCATCAGGATTAATAATAATCATACGCATCAAGGAAATTAATTACATTCAAATAATAAATAAATTATCAAAATAAATAGCTAAAGAATCTATACACTTGCACTCATACTCCTCTCCATACCCCACACACAACACATCTATACTTTTACACACAAGCACAATATGCATACAATCAACACTCATTCCTAATGCCCTTTCCTATCTTTTTAACCGATGATTTATTGTATCCCTATATTGCACTTCTGTTTAGCCGTACTAAGGCGGTTATCACACTGCGCCGCGCTCCGCCGCGGAGCGCGTGATTTTCATATAAAAATCACGCGCGCGGACGCGTTGTCAGTGTGAAGTGCCGCGCGTGTTTTCTATAGGTTCAAACTGTGGTACTTGCATACAATGATTAAATCTGTCGCCCCGCGCTCCGCGGCGGAGCGCGGCGCAGTGTGATAACCGCCTAATACTACTTGTAAATCCTGATTCCTTCCTCCACATGACAGGCAATGCCTAGTGTGGAGGCCTGTCTTTTATTTTGTACTACTTGATCTGGCAATAAAAGTATTTTTATGTTAATTTTCAAAAAATATGAGTATGGCGATGATAGCAATTTTTAAACTAAAATATATTTATAAAAAAAAATTATACCCAATATTTTTTCCATTAACCCATTATAACTATAATAGCTATAAGATCGATGGATAATTCGATTTTCATATGTTTTTTTCTGACATCTAACAACATAGTTAGATAAAAGATGCCAATCTGCGGCAGTCAGTATTCTGGTTTTTAGTATAGGTACTGGATGCCTGTTTTCACCATCCATCCCTAAATTTTAAGTGACCCCTATTAAAACAAAATTCCTGTTATGTATCATTTAAAAATTAGGGATTGATGGTGAAAATGGGCATGAGAATCCAGAATACTGACTTCTTCTGCTTTTCGTGACGACAACAAACCTACACAGTGTCAGCCCAGCTCAACTCCGCCACAAGAGTGGCGTTATCAGCAGCATTCATCAAATCCTCCTGCGTGCAGTTGCTCGGGCACTCAGGGCACGACATCAGGTGCTTCATCGACTGAAAACTGTATGTGATTAAAATTAGGACATGAATTAAAATATGTTTTTTTTTAGGTGTGTTCTTCACGTGGTCATCCAAAGGGAATCGGATTCTCATCGAAGGAGATTACAAGTACAGGGTTAATGGGATGTACAACGATAAGATAAGATGGCGGTGTGCGAGCCACGAAAAAAACAAGTGCAAGGCGATTGTACACACGTTAGGACACGAAATAATCTACAGGGCTAACCCTCATATCTTGTGAGTAGTATTGTAAAAAACAAAGTCAAAGTCAAAATTTATTTATTTGCTTAGACTATTTAAATAGTACTTTCAAATCGACAAATATTTTGCTCTTAAGGAGCCTCTACATGTCTAATAATCTTTTTACCTTACCTACTGAGAAGCGCAACAAACTCAGACAAACATTAATAATTCTCTACTTCATATTGTTTCTTAAAATAAGGCTTCAGCTTAGGCGCAGACTGCCGATTTTTAGTCGGCCGATAGTTAGACATTATAAGAATCAATCGGTGTAATGTGCGCATTTCCATGATTAACTGACCGACTAAACTATCGGCCAACTAAAAGTCGGTGGTCTGCGCCTAGGCTTAGGTAAACCTATTTTGCTGATTAATAATATAAAGAGCGCGAAATCAATACCTATTTAAAGAATAGTGTGATATAAAAAGTTTTTTTAATAGGTACATCATTTAAGTAAATGTTTCAATGTGAATAGTGTACTTAGCTTATGATCAGACAGAACTACTTGTAATAATATAATTGTCTGAAATTAATAAAGATTGTGATAAAGTAAAATTGTTAAAAAGTTTATCTCTAACAAAATCATATTTCTCTTAATACATGTTAATAAGTTTAAAAAAATATATAGATAATAACATATAAGAAAAATATAATAACTTCAAGTAAAAAAGTTTTTTTTTACCACATTAGGTAGCTCTCCCCCTGCATATCACTTGATGGAACGTGACGGTCAGTTCAAGGTGGAAACAAGCTCCACCCGGTATCCTCAACCTCACGAAACTGACTATCTTACAACTTATTTCAATAAATGAATAAATAAAAAATAAAAATCATTTATTTCAGGCATGGCCCATATAGTGTAAGTAACAAAGGTCAGGTAGTAACAAATTGAAAAACGGGAGCGTCCTCCACAGGGGCACGATAGATCGGTGGCGTAACCCACGGGTCGGAAGTTGCTGCTGACGTTGTAAAAAATAACTCTTTGAGTAAACTTCAAGTTTAGAACACCCATAAAGTTCACAGCAGACTTATCAACTCGGAAAGGGATCACTGTATCGCCTTTCGCGCGCTGGCAACCGGAGGCGAGGCGTTTAAGTGTGCGTTGCAGTATGGAGTTTCATACAAAGAATACTGACCGCCTCGAGTTGATACGGTTGCGATCCCGTTCCGGGTTGAAAAGTGTGCTACGTCCTTTAACTTATAACTGCCTTTTTCAGCAAGATTCGTGAAGTCTCGCCGTGGAAAGACCATGATTCAGATAGGTCGGTTCACGTTCTGCTCCCAAATGGTAACGGGCCTGAAGACCAGGTGGGTCTGCTCCACCCACAACCACAAGCAATGCCGAGCGGTTGTGCATACATACGACAATGAGATCATCAAACTTAATAATACTCATACCCATTGAAATAATTTGTATTTATAAAAGCGATAGGTCACTGACTGACTGACTCACTCACTCATCACGAAATCTCAGAAACTACAAGTGCTAGGAGTCTCAAATTTTGCACGGGGGTTCCATTTAGAACGTAGGTGTTCATTAAGAATGAATTTTACGAAACCTTAAGGGGGTAAAACGGGATCCACGCGTACGAAGTCGCGGGCGGCCGCTAGTAGTATAGTATGAAATTGCCTATTTTTTTCTTCAATTTCATTCGTGTATAATTAATATAATACAAAGATGAAAACCTTATGCTATGTGCACTGATGTTAAAATATATGATGGATTGCCAGTCTTCAAAATTATTTTCCTGTAAAATTCTCAAGTAGGATTAATTAAAATGTTTGAAATCCTGAAATTCGGTTTTAATTAAATTTTACCTTTTACAGATATTATACAATTTTGTTCCTAAATATGAATGCAATTACAACTACATTATTATGATGCAGTTTTTATTTTTATGTGCGTCCGTATTACGATAGTTAATTTATTACTCGATGTTTACTTATACCAAAGCATAGCAAATATTTATAAATAGGTACTTTGCTGTGTAATTAATCTTAATTTTTAAATTTGTTTCAGCATTATCCGAAAAGACAATCATATCTGAAGTTTCAAAATATGGCAAAGTATACCCGGTTAAAACAAGCTTTAAGGAACCATCTGCTGAAAAAAGTAAAAATATCGACGGTGCGTACTTAATTTCTTTATTCAGGTGTATCTACTTAAAAATGAAAAATTTAAATTGCCTGGATAACTATCCACACATACAAAGTTTGTAGATACAGTTGGAAATCTATTTTCAAAATATTTTTTTAGTTGTATTGATTACTAATTTGGTTTCAGCTTTAACTGAAGAAGTAAACGAGCCCGAAGCACCAAAGTACGGCAAAGTATACACGAGTAAGAAAAGTCTTTTAAACCTATCTGCTGACAAAATTCAAGGTGATGTTGATGAGATATGTAAAAAATATTTGCAAAATATTATGGATGCGTCTAAAAACGTAACGGTACTCTCAGTTGTTAAAATACCTCCAGTGAATTTGGTAAAAGAAGTTGAAAAACATTTGACACTGAACAAGGAGAATAAACAGGTTGTGTCTTTAGAGAAGCCTGCATTAGAAAAAGCAAAACTAGAAAAACTGAATGAGAACGAAGATAAACCTAAACCTGAAAGAAAACGTGTTAGACGTCTCAATGTGCCGCCGGGAAAATCTGTATCCGCGGAGGAAGTAGAAATGTATTTGACAAATGAATATGAATATGAAGATGAAATAGAAAAACAGAATGAGAACAAAGATAAACCTAAACCCGAGAGAAAACGTGCTAGACGTCTCAATGTCCCGCCGGGAAAATCTGTATCCGCGAAAGAAGTAGATATGTATTTGACAAATGAATATGAATATGAAATAGAACAACCGAATGATAATAAAGAAAACTCTACACAAGTTGAACTGCAAAAGAAGCGTATTAATCGTTCTAATTTGCCGAGAAAATGTGAGTTAGCAAAAGATACTGAAAGTTTATCGACAAAAGAAGATCAAGATAGAGCAAAAGAACATAATGAGAATATTACACAATGTGAATATGAATGTGTTAAACTAAGAAATTTGCTTCTTGGACAAAAGATCCCAGAAGATGTTGAAATAGATTTGACAAACGAAGAAGAAGAAGATAATTATGTTACACCTCCAAGGGATTTAACATCATTTGAAGAAGTAAACATGAATTTACTAGAAGAGCTCAATAAAAAGAAAATTAACTGTCCCCGTTCACTATCGGAGGAAGGTGAAAATAATAAGAAATGTCAATTGCCAGTAATACGTGCCATTCGGTTTGAACTACCTCCAGGGAAATCAGTATCAGCCAAAGATGTTGAAGTTATTTTAAAAAATAAAGAAGATGAGCTTAAAAACAAATACTATCACACTACTAAACACTAATTAACATAAGAAACAAATTTTATTTTTATAGTTGACTAAGTATACCAATCAAAATATTATGGTGCAAAATAAATTATTAATATAGTGCATCATCAAAATTACTTGTGATATAATAATAAGTGCCTTTGAGGATTTGTTGACTAGTGCCTTACTTTCTATTAATTAGGTATTACAAATTGCGGGACAGTACGTCGAAGGACGGTCCTTAAATTCTAATAGATTACGACACAACGTTCATCGACGGCTGACTTTGAGCTTCGAAATACGACAGCCCGTCGAAGAACGAACGTCAGCAATAGAAAATATTGTAGGGTGACTTAGTAGTGTCGTATTTGAAGAGTACAAAGCTGGCTAGTGTCACATCGTAAAGTTTTATGAGCACACACGTAAACTACACGCACACACTCAAAGTCGTCTCGTATTGTGACACAACGACCGAGAAAGCGATCTCCGGTTAGCGATGGGCGATTGTTCGAAAAAAAAAAATCTAATGAATCGACAATCGACCAATCGAACTTTCGATTGTCAATTTAGTAATTCGAAAAATAAAATCGAATACTTAATAATCGACAATCGAATGATAAATCTATTTACCTACCTGTACGCGACGATTCATTCGTTGTACCTAGTAGATAGTACCGTGCGGCGCGCGCTCACAGGACCGCAGCGAACGAATCATGTTATTCGTTAGTAACATGATTCGTTCGCTGCGCTGTTCGCGTCGATTAATCGAATGACTGCGATTGCTTTTCGAATACATTCGATTATAGAGATCATTCGAATAATTCGATTAATTTAGTAATAATCGCCCATCGCTATCTCCGGTGCTCGAAGATGATCAAGAAGTGTCAGAGGCTAAAGATAAAGATCCTTTTTCTACCCTACATGGAATGCGTGATATGACATAATTATGTTCAAAGGCGGTCAATGTGCACTGATTGTTAAAAAATATGACAGGTTGCCAGTCTTTAAAATTATTTTCGTGTAAAATTATCAAGTATATTATTAATTAAAATGTGTAAGATCCTTAAGATTTTAATTTAATTTTACCTTTTACAGATATTAGACTTTTGTTCCTTATATACAATTTTGTTCCTAAATATGAACTATTGCAATTACAACTACATTATTATGATGCAGTTTTTATTTTTATGTGCGACCGTATTACGATAGTTAATTTAATACTCGATGTTTACATGTACCAAAGCATAGCAAATATTTATAAATAGGTGTTGTGAATGTGAATGTAAAAAGTCATGGAATTATTTGTTTCAGTATTATCCGAAAATCAAATCATATCTGAAGTTACAGAATAAGGCAAAGTATACCCGATTAAAGCAAGACTAAAAAGTATAAAAATAATTACAATTAATTACTTATTTATTAGGACGAATTAATATTTATACCATGATTGATACTTTTGGAGTCGGTGCAGGCAAACTTCACACGTTTCATAATCTTGGCACCGACTAAACTATCAACCAACTAAAGTATCAATCATGGTATAAATATTAATTCGTCCTAATAAATAAGTAATTTGTAATTATTTTTGTACTTTTTAGTGCATGTTTTTTTTCTGTTTCAGATTACAACTACACCGTCAAGCTATCAAGAAGAGGTTACCCCCTAATTCAAGTGGGAAACTACACTTTTTGCAGGAAGACTACTTGTAGAATAAAAAGCAGATGGGTGTGCTCCACTCACAACCATAAAGGATGTAGGGCTTTGCTTCACTTATGTGAAGAGCGGATAGTGAAGCTAAACAATGAACATAGACATTAGGAACTTTTTAAAAGATTATTAGTCATTTGTTAGTCCTGTTAGCCTCTCGTACTAAGCTAAATTGCTTGTATCACGAGTGAGCTCACCACAATACTCGAGCGGCGGCGGGGACCGAACCCGCGTTCCCCGGATCACGAGTCGGCCAGTCCGACCCCCTCACCGTTCGGCTATCGTGACTTCTAACTTAAAAATATATGATATGTATAATTGTTCAAATTATATAAAAATAAGTATCCTTAATAAAAATAAAAGCCTTCTAGCAACAATAAAATGTTTTTTTATGATACAAATTCTCTGAAACCACTTATTTTAACCCGAAAACCCTTTTTATACGTAATTAATATTAATAACATATACTTTTTAAATACAGCTATTATATTATTTTTAACGATTTCATTATTTTATTTATAGGCGCAGTGGCATCGATGATTATTATGATACGACAATACATAAAGAATAATTATATGAAAAGTGATTCTCGTTTTAACACGAGGAATAAAAAGAACTGACTGTAACAGAGTTTTTTAAGCTGCTTCTTCTCAGCACTGGCACATATTATTATATCGAAGCATTGGCCGGGTTGAGGTTGATACGGCTAAAAGTGCTCTACAAAAGCCAACTAACTATACATATAATATAAATTAATTTTATGTATTATTATTATTAGATTAATTGAACCCGAGGCTTACATAGCTTGTAAGTACCTACTACTAGACTAAAAATACCTAATACATTGGTTCCCAAACTTATTTGGGACGCGCCCCCTTTCGATCATACAAAAATTCCGCGCCCCCCTCCTCCAGTCAAAATTATTTATTGGTCGTATCGAGCAGCGACCCTGCGACCGCTAAGAGAATGCATTCCAGTGCATTCTCTTAGCGGTCGCAGGGTTTTTTATACTTAAGTACACAGATGACCCGCGCCCCCCTTTAAAGGTCTTTGCGCCTCCCCTGCGCACTTTGGGAACCAATGACCTAATATAATTAATTGTAAAATAACTAACATAACTTATTAAGTGTAATATTAACTACCATTATTATTTTATATTAAAATTTTGTATTGTTATGAATTTTAATAATTAAATGTTTTTTCATAATAAAGTTCATAACAGTACCGTAAATTAACTTATCAATTGATAGCGAAACTATATTCTAAAACTTAGTATAATCTTAAAAACAAGTACATGTACTCGTAACTTATAAGTATAACTACCTCATTATTGTTTAATTATTTTATTTAGCTAATGTGTGTCAATGTGTTTTTGCAAATAAACATTTATCTATCAATTTATTTTATTTAGTTCAATAATTCTATCCGTACATGATCTTCAATTAAAGATCTTAATTAAATAAAAATAAATATCCTTGGACATTATACACTACCTACGCTTCTAGTCCCAAACTAAGCAAAGCTTGTACTATGGGTACTAGACAATGGATATAAACATACTTAAATACTTTTTTTTTGTAAATACATAGATATTACATAGTAACACCCAGACCCGTCACAGAAATAAAATTCATCAATTCAATTTCTGCCCGGCCGGGAATCGAACCCGAGACCTCTCGGCATAGTAGTCCGTTCCGAACCACTACACCAAATGGCCGACTCACCAAACGGCCGACAATTGTTTTTTTCTGAATAAAAACCTCGTTCTTCCAAAATCAGATGGATTATAAGTTATAACTGACACTTTTTCAGGTATGTTTAGGCTGCCTTTGTATATAGGCAGTTCTGAACAAGTTAGAATCGTTCGGTCCCGCCGAGGGAAGATTCTGCTGGACATCGGAGGGTTTACATTCTGCATGCAGGCCGTATACGGGCCAAAGAGGAGGTGGGTCTGTTCGACCCACAACCATAAGCGGTGCAGGGCTGTAGTGCACACCTTAGGAGATGAAATCACCAAGCTTAAGAACGAACACTCGCATTCGCACTAGTTTAGAATTTTGAATCGTGCAATGTGGTCTTTTGAAGTCGAAGATTATGGATGCCGCTACCAACCGACCAATCTGGAAATCATTGCTTATGTTCAGCAGTGGACGGGACTATTCCCACCTCTCGTTCCCACCACTGCAACTCCTGTGTAGCCAGGATCTACAGCTTGACCGCCATAAAAACTCAACCAATGAAGGTCAAGTTTGTCCCGGGGGAAAGTTAAACTGTCATTGGACCCGCAACGAAATTAATCAGAAGAACATAGGAGGAGTTCAGCAGTGGACGTCCTTTGGCTGAAAATGTGATGACGATTGATTTTATCGAATCACGGGAATTGCCTCCGTAGGTAAATACAACTCTAGTTTTTCTCTTGGAATACTCACATTTTATACTATGTAGTTGTTGAATTTAGTTGTTTTAACTGACTCCTTGATTCTGTCTTAGGCACAGTTTGCTAGAAATTTAAGCATTGAATTCAGATCGTGTTTATCCAGCCATGTTTCTAAGTTGAAAAGTCCTACTGATTTTATACCAAAAATGTGTACTACAAAAATTGTTGTTATTTTTATTTACAATATGCTTAGGTATATTATAATAGCCTCCGCTATTAATATTGTATAAAACTTTTTGTCAATAAAGAATTTTTTTTTTGTAGGTATATTTACCCGTCTTTACACACTGTAAATTAAAAATAAATAAAACTTTTTCAACGATACTAATATTTACTATTTCAGTTATCACTATGATAATGCTTTCATTAAAACAATACTCAATTATTTAAATGTTTTTATTTAATCATGTTTGCTGGTTTCATTAGGTTGAAAAATAATAATGAACATACGAGAAGGAAATTTTTTCTCAACATTACTGCATCCCATTTTTACAAATTACGCATGATCAAAAGGAGAATACAGTTACCTATTTTTTTTTCTAAAAAGCCTGCGATTGGTTTTTGTAGAATAAAAACATTTTTATTTTCTAANTACCAACCGGCCAATCTGGAAATCATTGCTTATGTCAGCAGTGGACGGGACTATTCCCACCTCTCGTTCCCACCACTGCAACTCCTGTGTAGCCAGGATCTTCAGCTTGACCGCCATAAAAACCCAACCAATGAAGGTCAAGTTTGTCCCGGGTGAAAGATAAACTGTCATTGGACCCGCAACGAAATCAATCAGTGTGCCTACCATGAGTTTACGTTAGGTGTGCTCGCTAGCGACTGCGTAAAAAAATGACATTAATTGTATGACATATTGTGCAGCGCCCCTAGCGGCTACTTTCAAGAAACAAAATCTTCATAGAGATTTTTGACGTACTCGCTAGCGAGCACACCTAACGTAAACTCATGGTAGGTACCCAGAAGAACATAGGAGGAGTTCAGCAGTGGACGTCCTATGGCTGAAAATATGATGACGATTGATTTTATCGAATCACGGGAATTGCCTCCGTCGGTAGTTAATACAACTCTAGTTTTTCTCTTGGAATACTCACATTTTGTACTACGTAGCCTTTGAATTTAGTTGTTTTCTTCTGTTTTAGGCACAGTTTGCTAGAAACTTAAGCATTTAATTCAGACCGTGTTTCTCCAGCCATGATTTTAAGTTGAAAAGTCCTACTGATTTTATACAAAAAATGTGTACTACAATTATTGTTGTTATTTTTATTTATATGGAATGATGAATTGAATCTTCAAAATTAACTAAAATTATTGAATTATTATTGTCGATAGTATAACTATATTTACCGGTCTTTACACACTGCACATTAAAATAAATAAAACTTTGGAACGATACTAATATATTTACTATTTCATAATATATTTACTATTTCAGTTATCACTATAATAATGCTTCCATTAAAACAATACTCAACTATTTCAATGTTTTTATTTAATCATAATATTTGCTGGTTTCACAT